ATTAAAAAGTCACAGAGGACAATAGCGAGCCACCGTGCATGTTAGCGAATCACAATTTATTTCCTCGCAATTGATCTCTGTCTATCTGGCTTGGATAAGAGAATTTCAACATTTATGGGAGTCATATCAAAATATATCTATATTTTTTTCCTGCCAAACGTCTCAGCGTTCTTATCACTTTAGCCAGCATGCAGCACACCCAAACATTTACGCTCTGATGCTTGTTATGGAGCTGCTCTTCTTGAGATTGTGATTATTTTTTTACTTATTTACTACGTTCTGGCCAGAGGCTGCCAGACATTGAGGAAGGGGGGAAGGCGGAGAAGATGAAGAAGGGAAGAATATATTCCTGAGAGTCCTGTCGTCTGGTCTGTGTGTGTGAATGTGTTGCTGCTCTGTGTGTGATCAAGCAGCAACTGTTTGAATGTTTACAATTGGCAACACATCTAAACTAACTGCTGTTAGCCTGTTTTCCTCATGTCAAGCACCTCTTCAATTTGTCGGTGGTACTTGCCATGCAGGGGCTCGTCTTTCCATGACAGTCCATCTGGCTCCTTCTCCTTACTGGGCTTCTGTCGCTTGAGACATTCACGAAGCAGATCGTCTATGGGGGGGCCACCTTCTTCATGTACACCTGTTGTTCGCATGAGGCCTCAGTCCTTGCCCCCAAACCCTTTTTTACTTTGGGGCGGAACCGTCCGTGCATTGTAAGGATCTTTCTTGTCTTGATGGGAGTGGCTTATATGTCTTCCAGGAGCCGGGATACAGTGCCAGCGGGGTATCTGATAACTGGCAGGGTGAAGGCGTTAATGGCTTGGCTCTTATTCTTGGCGTTCAGCTGACTATTCCGTATCTATCTCACCCTCTTTTGGTATTTGGCCATGGCTGTCCTCTGCGCTGACTCGGCATGGTTTGCCATTTGCATATAGAGATGAAAGAAATCTTTGCATCTCTGTCTATATTGCTGAATTCAACTTTGCTGATAAAAAAAAAAGTGTTTAAAAAGCATTCTGGAATTTGTTTTAGAAAAAACGTGAATAGAGTCACTCGAGTTATTATCGGATCCGCTTATCCTCACAAGGGTCATGGATGTGGCGGAGCCTGTCCCAGCTGTCTTCATGAAGAAGGCGAGGTACACCCTTAGACAATTAACCATTCACACTCACAGTCACACCTACAGTCAATTTAGAGTGATCACTTAACCTACCGCGCATGTTTTCGAAAACCGGAGTACCCGGAGAAAACCCACGCAGGCAGGGGGAGAACATGTAAACTCCACAAAGGAAGGCCGGAATCGAACCCTGCACCTTTGCACTGTGCAGCGGACGTGTTAACCGTTTATACACCGTGCCGCCTCTTCTCAACTAAAGGAAAAAAGTTTGACCCATGGTACTCAATATCTCTATGAGTGAGGGAGGTGGGGGTCGAAGACAACGAAAGAGAAAAAGAGCTTTTTTTAATTGTCATCCACAAACGTTGACAAAGTATGAGTGCAAATCAGCCGGTGGAAGGAAGAAGAAGAGGAAGAAAAAGAAGCGAAAGAAGGCATCCTTCACATTCACAATTCCTAAAGCATATACCGTATACCGTATACCGTTTTGTCTTTTTTTTTGGGGGGGGGGGTACCATATGCTCAATCACGTATATTTGTGTACAAGCAAGAACACAAAAAGATATCCAGGAAGGAAAATAATGGTAAGCAAAGAAATGCAAAAACAACAACATCACTTTCTTCTACATTCAAAAGTAGTCGAAGAAAAAAAAAAAAAAAGAACCGCACTAATGCTAATCATTCTATTGTTAATAATCATAATCATCCGGCAAAGCTGGTCTATAATCTGTTCTGTACACTTGGCACAAATATGAGATATTTTAGATACGGCCACTCACCGCTGGTTTGCATTTGATTGCCCATTGCTCGTGTTCCAAAGTGAGGGGGGGGGGGGGGGATAATTACAAACAATGGCAACCATCAGCCGATATTTTATATATATATATATATATATATATATATATATATATATATATGTTCATTCAAATGTATCAAAATCCAGCCCCAATAACCGTGAGGGGAAAAAAAATAAGTGAATCCTCAACCACCAAAAATCTGTGAAAAATTCAAGCGCCCTTATGATTGCAACATTTTAAAAAATGACCCCCCCTCAAATAAGTGAGTGAAAAGGTTCCCCCGAAAAAATAGGTGAAAAGAGGTGTCTTTGCGAATAGTGAAAATCTGCAAATGATTGAGGCTGACTTATAATTGAAAAAATTAAATAAGCACACACTGTACTGTTACTAATTTGCAAACAATGTAAAAGAAATAACAAATATACAATCCCCCCCCAAAAAAGTTTGTTTTGTTTCGGGGAGGGGCGTGGGGGGGGGGGGGTTCTTCGATTTTTCATGTGCTGACGATATCTTGTACAAACATATCTGGTGTCGTCCAGTCCCAGTGAAAACTTACAAAAAACAGCAGCAGGAGCAGCAGCAAAATCGCTTCGATTCTGCCATTTTTTTCCCTTTTTTGCAACAATTTCAATTGACATCGTGCGATTGTCTGTTTTTTTTTTTTGGGGGGGGGGAGGGTGGAGCAAAAAGCAGTCCTCAGCTCAGGTGGGATGTCTGTCAATCAAACGAGTCACAATGATGGTTGATTAAATCTAGCCCAATTGGCAGACATTTTTCTTGTTTGGTGCGAATTGTGAAAAAAACCAAAACAATAAAACGTCTTTTTTTTTTCATTGAACCAAGTTGTTATTGGGAGGTACAGCACAGGAGAGGAAAGATTAGGGAGAAAGTATGCTGCATGACTATTTTGACAATTTATTATCGGTTATGGGTTATTGTTGTGAAAAGTCATGATTTTCAGAGATAAATGTTGTACTTTTTGTTTTTTAAATAGAATTGCAATTGTATATTGCAAATACCTGCTTTCAGAGAATTATTATATGTATTTTTTTTAACATAGTCAAGTTTTTTTGTATTTTTCTTTCCAGCGTGTCACAAATCCTTAGGTCTTAACTGAAGCCAAATTCCGATTTTTGGGTTTAGGGTTAGATTTTCTCGAGAAAAAAATTCATTCCGAATTTTCTTTTTTTTTTGCAAAATTCACAAAATATTATTCATTTGCAAAAGAAAGTTATGACTTTTCTTTTTACATAATGACAGCTTTAAAAAAACAAACAACAAAAAAAAACATTATATGGCACTCTCATGAGATTTGCTTTAAAACGAAAATAAACAGATATTTAATGATGAATACTTTTCTCCTAATAAAAATCTGCACCAAACTATATGACATTCCTGCAGGTTTTACACTTTTCTGCAAAACCTCTCCAAATAGTTGTATTTTTTTCTCAGCAAAAAAAAAAATGGCTAACATTTTTTTTCAACATTTCTCTTGTATGATTGTGACTTTTGTGACATTTTTTTTTTCTCTTCAGTGTGTCCCAAATCCTCTGAACTGAATCCAAATCCCGATGTTTTTATTTTCATGCGCGTATCAGACCCTGAATGCATCATGAAAAAAAATATTCAATAAAATCGCGGCGCATCAACAGTTACATCTGAACGCCCGGGTGGAAAACTTGTTGACATTCATGCGGTATGGCGCTGACGACCAAAAACAGACGAGAAAAAAAAAAAAAAAAAAAAGAACCCAGCGGCCATTAAAGCTCAAGCGCGGGCGGGCAAGCGGGCGGGCCCCAAGTCGCCCAGACTTCCAAAAAGGGATGCTGGCCACACACTCACGTATACAACAGTCACATTCGTTGCTTTCTCACAAAGACTTGGTCAAGGACAGGAAAGGTGTTTTTTTTTTTTTTTGTTTTGTTTTGTTTTGTTTTGTTTTTTTTTGTTATCTTTGTGGCGAGCTCATTTGACGTACTCTGCCGACTTCCAGAAGTGTCCCGGGTGCGAAAGGCGGCGGTTGCGCTTGGGCAGTTTTTCCAGCAGCTCCACCAGCTTGGAGAAGCTGGGACGCTCGTCCTGCTCCAAGGCCCAGCACAGCAGCAAAATGTCCTGACACACACACAGACACACACACACACACACATACAAATAATAATAAGGGGGCGTCAATGCCGGAGAGTCCAGGGTTAGGGTTTCACATTCAGGTTTGAAAAATGGGTTGCGGTCTCATTTTAGGACTTCAAGCTGGGGTGACGCTCTCAAAGAAGGCTTTTAAACAAGGGTTAGGCGTTTAAAATGGACTAAGAGGCTCATATTAGGATTTCAAGCCATGTTTGATGTTTGAAATGAGGGTTCCAAGCCATGCTTGAGGTTGCTTTCGGAGGTGATGTGGATTAGTGTTTAAAATTTGGGTTGTAAGTCAAGATGAGCGGCTCCAACAAGGTTGGGTTTCAAATTGGCGTTTGAAGATTGGGTTCGGGTTCAAAAACAGGTTTCAAGTCAGGATCGGGTTTTCAAAATAGGGCTTCAAACACGGGTAAGGGCTTCAAGTCATGGTTGGGTTTAAAGAAGGTTAAAAAAAAAGTTTAGTTTCGGGTCACAGGGTTCTTTTACTCGTCTCATTCTCGTCACGTCCAATTTTGGGCTTTTGTAAATTATCAATACCGAATACGGCGTGCAGGTTCAACAAGCGCCTGTCCGAGCGCCGTATTCGAAGGGGAATGCAATGGTTCAATGACTCAGTTATGATTCAGTAGTGAGTTGTTTGTGATCCAGTAGTGAGTCCGGGGTGACTAGCTAGTGACTCAATCGTGACAGATTAACGACTCCGTCATGTGTTTGCAATGACTCGATAGTGACTCAGTCGTGACTTGATGATGACTTTCACTCGAAAGCGACTCGATCACGACTCGGTCATGACACGGATCTCCCCGGGGAGCAAAGGCGGCCTCACCAGGATCTCCTTGACCATGCCGGCATGGGCCAGGCTGGGCTTGACCCCGCTGCCGACCTGCCACATGATGACCTCCGCCGGCTGACTCTTGTAAGGCCACTCGCGGGCGTGCAGCTCAAACCAAATGGTGCTGAAACGGAAGACACACGTGAGGCAAACGGGGCAAAGACGACGTGAGTCAAGCGGGGAGCGATCAAGGGACTTGACCCGTGGACGCTAGCCGTCTCATCTTATACAAACGACCGAAGAGGTGGGGTTTTAAGTCGGGGTTTTTAATGAGCGTTTCAATCCGGGCTCCCAAGTTTTCAAATGAAGGCTTCATGTCAGGGGTTTCAATCATGAGTGAAAGTTTCAAAGGAGGATTTCAAGCGCGGCTTCCAGTTTCAAGTTCAAATCGAGAGAGAGGAAGGTAGGACAAAGGCGGAAGGTCCATCTGCGCTGCCACCTCGAGGTCACCCGCTGCCCCGCCTCCCTCCGTCCCCGTGGCGCTTTTGCATATTCATGAGCTCTTCATTTTTTATTCCCCCCCCACGACTATTTTTATCTCGCTCCAGTGTGACTTTCAGGAGTGGACGGATGAGGCGAGTTGGGACCTGTTGGGTATGCTAATTCCACGGCCGCCGCTTGCTTCCTTTCCAGCGTCCTCAGACATTTTCTCGAGGCGGCCAAATGACGTAAATTCCTTTTTCCACACTGGATGCAAAAATCCGCTCACGGCATCGACACGGAATAGAAGCGCGGAGTCAAGTTTGCACCTTCAGACGTCGTGTCAGAGCTGGACATAACTTGTGTGTGTAAAGTTCCTTTTACACTGCCGGCAAAATTGAGATTATTTTTTTTTTTTTCTTTTTGCAGCTTTTTGGTTTCGGCTTTTCTTAGAGACACAACTGGCGCAGAACGAGAGGACTGAATTTGACCCGACAATTTTTCTGCTTGCCAAATTCTGCCCCATTTTCAAGTCACTTTCCATATAAATGGCACAAACACACGAAAAAGGGAAGATGAAGTCAACCAGGTACGGTTTGATCTACTCAGAATGGAAGGATGACGTGACCTTGGCAATTTTCGCCTTTTTTTTTTTTCGTGGTAGGAACAGAAGCGCAACAAAGGCAAGACGCCATCTGCGCCGAAAGACCATTTTACACTTCCTGCAAAATCCAGTAATTATCCGCCTTTATTTTTTTAATGCGCCGCCGCACCAACTAAATGGCACCCACAGAGGAGGAGCGGATGAAGCTTAGGAAGAAGTATCCGAGCTGCAACAGAGCCGGGGGCACAACTCGTATGGAAAGGCCCTTTCGCACTGCCCACATTTGTGCCCGTTTGCCAAAACAAAAGTGCTTTTTCCGGCCTACGCCGCCGAAAAGCTTCAATGGCTGCTTCGATTAGCTCAACGCTGAGCCGACCGCTTTGATTATAATACTGCTGTGAGGTCATTCAACGGAAAAATTGAATAGAAGAGCGGCCCGTGGACCAAATGGCGTATGACTGCCATCTACTGGCGGTTATGTGTCAGTGGTTTTTTTTTTTTTTTTTGGTTTGTTTGTTTGTTTTTTGCTTGATGCATTTGGAGTATGGCTGCACGGCTAAGCGGCCTACCCGAACGCAAAGACGTCGGACTGTTTGGAGAAAGGCAGCTTGTCCTCCTCGGTGTTGGGAGAGAGCTGCCGGATGATTTCCGGAGCCAGGTGACACAACCAGCCGCTCGGGATCTTCAGCTTGTCTTCTCTCCGACTACATGGTTGGGGGAAAATTATTATTATTATTTTATTTTTATTTTTTTTTTAATGCCATCTGAGTTGATGCAAGTTGCGACCAATCACCTGCCGGCTTGCAGAACCCCCGAGATGGTGAAGAGGCCGAAATCGGTGATGACCACTTTGCCGTTGTCGTAAAAGACGTTCTTGGACTTCATGTCCTTGTGTAGGATGCCTTTAGCGTGGAGGTAGCCCATGCCCTGCAAACGCACGCATACAGTTGGGTTGAGGTCAGGGGACGGCACTGGCCACCAGCAGCTTTTCCTCCCTTTAATGCTGTCTTCCAAAAAGATGAAGCGTATTGCTGATCTTCCTTTTAAGGCTGTTTCTGCGGGTTCTCTACGGGGTTGAGGTCAGGGCACGGTTGTTTGCAGGCAAACTCAAATCCTTAAATATGGCACGCGTCAGCGTTTGGAACGCACAACGCAATCCTACAGGGCATCTGCGTGTTGGTGTTGTCGCTGATGTTTCATTACCTTGACCATCTCTTGTGCGATTTGTCGCGTCTTGTTGGCGTCCAGGACGACCTTGACGTCGCGCACCACCGAATAAAGCGTTCTGCCTTTGCACAGGCTGCGAGGAGGAGAAAACACACATGAGAGGAGAACTGCCAACTAACCCCCACCCCACCCCCACCCCGAGCCCTCCCACTCCCCAAGCCTGCCCGGATGCGCTGAAAGATTCCGCCACCGCTTCTCGCCTGCAGCTGTAAGAGTACACAAGCGGAACATTGGGTAGATTGGATTGTAAAGCACAGAAAAAAAAAGTTTAAGTTTCTATTTCGTGCAACGCGCTTCCTTTACGGAACGTTGCATGTTATTTCTTTTATTTTTTTATTTTTTTTTTACATTTCCGAATCCACTTTTGCCGCTGAAGCAATGCAAATTTCCCCATTGTGGGACTTATAAAGGTTAGCTTCGCCTAAAAAAAAAAAATAAACGAGAGGTGAAAGTACACGAGCGTGGCATCAAGTCTCCTCACGACTTGGGGGGGCTGATGTCGTCGCAGCATATTCATGGAAATGTCTAAAAACCACCCCCCCTGGTGTGTCCCACCCCTCACAATTCCCCCCAACCCCGGCTGTGCCACGCAGGTGAGCCGAGGAACAAAAAAATGACCTCGGGCCAATGAATCATGCATACTAATGGGCAACAAAAGCGCGGCAGCTCCAGAAACTCCACAATAGCCATCCGCGATTATGTAACCGCTTGACACATAATGTATGCATGCAGCTATTGCACACGCGTATGAAACGACCGCTTGACTGAATACGCCGACGACTAATGGGCATGTGAAGCATGTGGGCAAGCGCAGCATGCGGGCCCCGACGACTCCGCCATCGAACGTGACTTCGGAACGCCGCGGTGGCGTTGAGGGCGCTCGCGAGCGATTGTGACGGCAAACGCCCGCAAAGAGCGTGCGGCAGACAAGACCGGCCTACCTGGTGATGATGGCCAGATGCGGCGGACTCATGCAGGCACCCATGAAGAGGACCACGTTCTCGTGACGCGTGTTGCGGTAGGCCATCACCTCGCGCTTGAAGGCTTTGAGTTGGTCCTCGTTGTCGCGCTCGATGTCGATGAGGCGGATGGCCACTTCGCCGTGCCAGCGCCCGTGGAAAACTTTGCCGAAGCGGCCCTTGCCGATCATTTCGCCTATCTCCAGCTGCTCGAAGGGGATGTCCCACTCCTGCAGGAAAATGCTGGTCTGGCTGGCCTTGCGCGGGAAGTTGCGGGCCGACAGCAGCGACAGGTTCATCTCCTCAAACTCGTCGCCCGATTCCTCGTCGTTGCCCTCCTCGTTCTGAAACGTCACCGCGACACATTAGCGAGCCAACTGCGGCAGGTCGGAGCTTGACCAAAAGTTAGCAAAGTGAAACTTGGTCGGCGCGTCTGTCACGATTAGACCCACAAAAACGCAGTGAAAAGCCAGACACCAAAACGTTCCAAGTCAGCAAAAATTGACTCGGAACGTCGTAAAATTCAACCCGCGAAAAACGTGACACTTTGCAACACCTAATTTGGTCGACGTGTTCATCACGAGGAGACCCACGAAAAAGTCTCAACAAGCCAGGCAGCACACTCTGGAATTAAAAAATCAGCACCTAAAGTCAGTTACACTTTGCGACATGAAATTTGTCCGATCTGCTTTTTTACGTAGACCCACCAAAAAGTCTCAAAAAGCCAAGCCAGAAAAAAACAGGAAGTATGCAATTTCCATTTGAAGTCAACATTTTTGGGCTCTGTAGGACTTGTAGAATGCATTTGGCAACATGATATTTGGTAGACATACACAGAAAAAAAAAGTTTCAAGATACCAAGCCTGAAAACATGCTGGAAATCTGCCACTTTGGTTTTATTCTGGCACAGCAGCATTACTCTAGAATGATATTTAAAAATTCAGACCCCAGCGTCAGTGTTGCTTAGCACCATACATTCGGTAGCCATGTCTATGATGAGTGGACCCTCAAAAACATTTTGAAAAATAATCATGTGAGAAAAGGCACTGGAAGTGTACCGCTTTTGTTTGACAAAGACATTTTGGCTCACTCGCGTCTCCAAAATTGAATTAAAAACTTCAGCCACCGTGGTCAGTGTTACTTAGCAACATGAAATTTGGTAGACAAGTCCAGAGGAAAATAAATGTTGGAAGGAGATCGCAAACACGCTTCATTTTACTTCTCCTACACAACAAGCGGATTTTGTCTGAGAGTGAACCGAGACGAAAGTGTTTCTGTTCCTGTGTCTCTCGGTCTCACTTATTTCACCTTTTGAGTTTGAGGAGGAACACATGAGAAACATCGCAGACAAAAGAGTGAAATGAGGCTGAAGAGGGAAGGTCAAATTTGGGGCAGTCACATTTTCCTCTCCGTGTCCATCATGAGAAGGCCAACAAAAAAAGTCTCATCAGCTCATTTGGGTTGAAGCAGACATTTTGGTTCAGTGGCTTCGTCTAGAATTGTATATAAAAAAAAAAACATAATAATAATCTGCAGCGTTAAATCTGGTAAGCATCTCCATCCAGAGTAGACCCACAAAAACAAAGTCCAGAGAAAGCATGCCGGAAAAGGTTTCGAATGGCAGGCGTTTTGATTTGAAGCAGCCCATTTTAGGGTCATTTTAGTACTTCCAAATGAAATGCCACCGAGAAATCTTTGGATACGCCGCTTCCTTTCAAATTCGCGTGAAAGACGAAGAAACGGAATGAACAACGCAGTCACTCTGCGCACTCATTTCGATGCAAGGACGACGAGTTTGCATTTCCTCTTGGTTCGGTTTGAAATATGATGCCTTGATGGCTAAAAAACAAAAACAAAAACAAAATTGAAGATATGAAAGGGGAAAACAGCCGGAGGGGGTCCGGAGGAACTCACTGGATGATTCATTGCGATTTGATTTGAAACATAATGTATTGCAAGGGTGAAAATGATCTATTCCCGAGACGCCTGCTGGAATATTCTTCAAGGCAATTTCCATGGCCATTTCCCTAAATATGTCATTTTTCTTGCGGGAGGGAAAACTTTTCCTTCACGACACTTCTTGCTTCTGACGCACAACTTACCCGAGGGCCGAAATGATTCCCGCTTTTTGCAGCCATCAGACAAAAACAAGGCGCACTCAGTATAGAAATAGACATTCAAAGAAAAATTGACTCACGTCGGAAGTCGGCTCCACTTCGATTTGAAGCAAAGGGTTTCCCTCGTTGCTGCAAGCACAAACAACGTCTGTCAGAAAATACCGATGGCAAACTTTGCGAGACTGCTTTTTTTTAAAAATTTGAGATCAGATAACTGATGGTAATGAATGTCGTCATGTGGAATGTGGCTCGTTAAGTTCCGACTCAAATTGCAATTCATTCCTTCGCACAGGAAGCTTGCCAGTTGGGCCGTTCGACTCCAACGGGTCCAATTGTTGTGCTGACATGAGCCTTGGATGAGGTTGAAAAGTGTCAAATGGTCCTCCTCGGCTATCATTGGCCAGAAAGCCAATCCAATACGTTCCTGCCTTGCTGTGTGGCCTTCTCACATGGGGGGGGAATAAAAAAATAATATCAATAAAAACCGCTCCTCGCTTCATCAACGTCGTAGGGCGGCCATCTTGACAAGATAAGGACCTGATTTCCTGCGGCGGCGCTGGCCTGGCGCCTCTAATGAGGAGATCCCGCGGGGACTTGTCGGGGTTCGCCACCTGGCCATTAAGCCGACACGCTCCGGATGCCACATGTTGGACATTCTCCGCAGAGAACGATTTGATGCGAGTGTGTGCGTGCATGTGTGCGCGTGAGACGCCAGTTTACTCTACTTGTGAGAGGAAGCGTGGATAGATGCGTAGATGGGTAATAGATCAGAAGGGAGGCAGGGATGGCTGAAGAAATAAAAAAAAAAAAAAAAAACAGTAGGAATACATAAAACATGAATGCAAATGAATTCAAGGAAATCTGTGCGGAAAAGCGTGTTGGTTTTTTTTCCATCTGTGTTTCACTGGAGACACAACGGAATAACATCCGAGACAAAACTTCTCAAGGTGAGAAACAGAGTAAAAAAACGTGACAGGAAGTTTGATCAGTCTGTGATTTGATGATTGTCTTTGTGGTTGTTTCGACTGTCCGAGGTGGCGAGCGTCACAAATAAGTCGGCAAGCAAAATTCTGCACCTCTATCCATTTTTATCAGAATGTCCCTTTCAAAATAAAATGAGGAGCATTATCGGCGATTGACGAATTCCCGGCCGGCCGCCTTGGCTGGCTCGGGAGCGTCTTGTTGACTCGCTGACGGACGGCGACGCTGATCTAATCAACGTCTAGGTCGAGAGGCATCGTGTCTCCTCGTCTCCTCGCTTCCCTCTCCGCCGAAATGCGCCTGGCGTGGCCGGAGTAGCGTGAAGCCCGCCAAGCGCTAACATTAGCCCGCCGGCGATCGTCTCTCTCCA